AGTTTTAAAATATCGGCATATCGGATATCGGCCAAAATCCCAATATCGTGCATCCCTATTAAATCCCATTGGCAGATCATCTTAATTATCTGATTTTTTTTTTAACTCAGGGCCCTGTTGCACCTTGCTGATTTTCTATCAGCACACTGGAAGCTCCAAGGATGAAGCAGGAGGTCTCCAGTAGCCACCAGTGCAGAGCTTATTGTTGAGGATTTATGTCACATATTTAGCCGTCAGACCTTCTGTTTCATGAACGATGGGAAGTTTTAAAATTAGAATTGACAGAAAAACAAAACAAAACGAAACATCTTCAAATAATTGTTTCCAACTCAAAAGTTTGCATGAAACATATGCAATAACATCAAAACATTCCCTCCCTTATTAACTGGGTTTGTGTAAGTGATTCATTTTTAATTTAAATCCAGCTGTAAATTGATTAACGAGGATTCTGCACAGCAAGCCTCCCCGAGGGTCTAAACTTAATTAAATCGCCGTTCTTGTTTTGGAAATCTAGAGAGAAGCCCTGAAAAACAACAGCAGTGAACAAGCGTTACGCTCAGGACCTGCAGACGCCACGCGCCGCCAACACAAACACACACGTTAGCGCATGCTGTAATTAAAGGAAGTAATTATATCGCCGTGTGTTGAGACTCGGTCTGATGAGCCGCTGCCTTCCTGTTATCAGTCCGCCCCCCCCGTCCCACCTCACCCCTTCAGCATGTGTTATTGACTGTCTGCAGTTCACTGAGGTCTGCTACATATTCAGGGAGAAAAAACAGAAACACAATACTGCCTCTGCCTCACTGGGGGTGGGGGGGTGGGGTACCCTCATGGATGTTGTTTCTTACAGAAAAAAAATTAAAGCGTCAGTAGATGTGATGATGTCATGGAGGCAAAATGCTGCATTTTGTCTTTGATCTGTGCAGGAAATTACGTCATCTGAATAGTCATGATTGGAAAACCCTTTAAATGATTTGAAGGTACAGTGGAGGATGTTTTTCCGGGTAGATCACCTAAATAAGTGGTTGTCCTAACTGTCAATCATTCTGGTGACATGTTTACGTAAGGCCGTCCCCATTTTCACTTACCGCTGGTGAGTCTGACATCGTGAAAAAATTGCAAATCAAAAAGAAAACTTTGAATCAATCAGACTGGGTGATCTGGTTGAACTGGAAAGTTCCTTGAAATGTGTTGTGAATTGATGCTATAGAAATAAACTGAAAAGAATTTAATTATAACCAGAGGTGGAAAGAGTACTAAAAATATTGTAATTGAGTAAAAGTATCTTTACTTTGCCTAAATTCTACTCAGAGTAATATTAAAATTACCCATCTCAAAATTTACTCAAGTAAAAGTACAAAATTACTTCATTTAAAATGTAATTTGAGTAAAAGTTACTTAGTTACTTTGAGTTATTTATTGCAAAAAAAGGGGGAAAAAAAACACTTGTTTCCATTCCACATGATGTTTAGCCATGTACAATTAT